GGGTCTATCTGCTCTTTCTTCTATTTTCCTCATCAATTGTTTTTTCTTCTTCCTTTATTTTAAACCTTTTCCCTTCCCATATTCCTCCAATTCTTTGTTTTTATTCTCTGTATTTCATCTCTGCCCTTCATATTGCTTCTTATCCCACCCATTTTTTTGCTTTTGTTTGTGTGTTTTTTGTTTTGTTTTTCTGTCTTCTTGAGTTTTTCCTTCTTTCCTTTCCTCTATCTTTCTTGCTTTCTTTCATCGTCCCTAAATCACTCTTCTCTGGCTCTATCGAAGCAGAACTGTCCTAGGTGAAGTGAACAATGGTGTCACTGGAACCATAAAAACATTCGCTCAGCACATTAACCGACCCCTGGCCGAGCCAGTTTACACAGCTTAATTCGTAAAGGGAGGAGAGACCAGAACGTCCTGAGAAAAGACCCCGAACAGACAACAAAAAGTGTGTACTCTAAAGCTTACTTCATGCCTCCCCAGTGGACTGAAGGCCTTTTTATTTCTTTATTTTTAGCCAGGGCAACTATCTATATGGAAGAAACAATGAACGAGATAATTCAAAGACAATGGATCTGAACAGAAATTAGTCTCAGAAACCAAAATATAACTGTGGCCCTGCACTAAATCTAGGAGTTTTAAGAGTCAGGTGACCAATGAGTTTCAGCTCAGGTCCATTTTGAAGTAGGGGACATATGTTGGGACCACCCTTGGTTCCTCTGGTCCCAGGAGGCATAACCGAAATAGACAAAGCAGCAGAATGAGCCCCACACTCATCACTGCCAAGTGGGAGTTACTAGGGTGAGAAAGTCAAAGCAGAAGCCTCTAGAACTGCCTGTAAGAGGATAAGAAGGAAACCCAAAGCCTCCCACATTCCTGGATGAAGGGCAGAGATTTGTGCCACAGGAAGGATGTGAATATGCAGGATTGTGTCCATTGGAACACATCCTCACCGACCATCTGATTTGACTTGTGAAAAAGGAGGAGAAACGGGAGGAGGAGGAGGGAATAGGAGAGGGAGAGGTAGAAGAAGGAGGAGAAGGAATAGAAAGACTGGGAACTCTACAACTTCAATTTAAAGTGCTACATACATGATCGAACCCCGGAGGAACAAAGCAGGAAGATAGTCTGTGTCCCAATTTACCTCAGTACCAACTTCTGTACAATGAATCCATCTTTCTGCCTAGACCCGTGGACTCCTGGAAAGTGTTCTATGACCTATTGACAGAGGAAGGAAAGCTGTGGCCTGGCTCCCCGATGATTTTCATGGTATCAAGGGCCAACCAGAGAGGGGCTGCTGCAGCACGACAGCCCATGTCTGGACGTCTGTGAAGGACAGTGGGTCACAAAACCCTCACAATGGGCAGAGGTGGGGCGGTCGCCTCCTCACTCACTGTGCATGGCTGACAATGCCCAGCTGTGGAAGGAGATGCTGACTCAGGGCTCTGCCTCAGATTTGAAGCAGGCAGAGGCACTGAGGAAGCCTGACTAGGAGATCCCTCACAAGCTCTCTGGGCAGACGTTCGTTGGACGTTCTCGCTCAGTGGTCACAAATATTCAAAGATGTTTGCGTCTCATGTAATGCTCACCAGAGTGAAGCCTCAAAGTGAGAGATTTCATTAGTCAAAAGGATAAAGTGGCACGTTCTATATTTTCCCTCGGCAGTGGGATGTGAAAGCACAAACAAAAGAAACAAACAAAGTCTCCTATACACACATGGAATCATGTGTTTACCGCAGGGGAAGCAGGAGGGAGGGCCAGGTGAATAATGGGGGCTCAAAGGCAAGAGGGCAGAGAGACAGACATTGGTGGCAAGCACACAGCTGAGTGTGCTATGTTGTACCATGAAGTTGTACAAGTGAAGGTTTTTAATGTGATTAACTAATTACCCCCAAACAGTAATCATGAAATACTTTTTAAGTATTTAATGTTCAAGAAATGAAGAGATACTTTTCTGTGTTTGAATAATAAGAACATGTATTTGTTTACCTATCATTTGTTCAATAAAAACCAGGCGAATAATCTGTTGCAGCTGGGCAGTAGCAATTGTCTGAGAGCATTAACCCTCAGACAATTAGTGAGCAATGGAGTCTTGAAAAGGAAAGGAAGTCAATGGTTAAGTGTTACAAAACCCAGTTTTTATTCCTGGGCCCTGCCAAGCAAGGCAAGAGCTAGACACTGGGCTATAGTGTCTCTGGACGGAGGCGTGAGGACTGCGGTGGGAACCAGCGGGGTTCCTGCATCCAGTTCCCGTGTCTCTGGTGATGACACGCAATCTGAAACAGCTCTGAGTGGCCCCCAGCAGCACACACGAACATGCTCCCTCTCATCACTTTATCGCCTGCTGAGTTCATTTCCAAGGCTCCCGATGCTGCCTGAGGAGCTTCAGGGCACCAATAGTTTACTTCTATGCTTCCAACCAGATGTGGAGAAAATCGGAAAGTTTCCTGAGGGGATGACATTGACGTTCTGAAAATGCTTGAGTAATCTGCAACAGCCGACAGGGATGGTTCCCTGGTTTATAGCTAGCACACCTTCAGCTTGGAGAGATTCAGGACATGAATAGGTATATCTCACAATGGCTTCAAGCCATATGCGAGGAAAAACGTGATGGATCATGGGAGGGCTGTAACCGGTATGGGATGAAACTGGGATAATTCAGGGTTTGTCAGAGACTGGAAAAGTGTGCAAGAGGAAGCACCAAGAGTAATAAAGGCAGAGACCTCTCCTGTGGCAGCGGCTACCTTGACTAGACTCAAACCCCAGCAGGGAACTGAGGTGAAGGGAAGGTTTGACCATGAGGTAGTGTGCTACTCTATGGAAGAACTATGTGAGTGCTGAAACTTACCCAGGCAGAAAAGTATGCAATCTGTGTGGAAATAATTAACGGTCGAGGACATGTTCAAGGAAACATAAGTTTGGACATGAAGGCACCTATTAATTTGGGCCCACAGGAAGAGCCTGCATTTACATCTGCAGTGTGGGTCATTTTACAAGGCCCACAAGTTGATTGGGATGGTTGGCAGACAACTGCATCCAAGGATGGCCCAAGGGGGCAGCATGGAAGTGCCCACAGTCTCCTTTCAGTAAAGAAGCAGTTCAGCAGTGTAGGGAGGAGGGACTGTTGGAGTGTATTGGTTATTTGAGCCCTATGGCACGTGGAGTGCCCACATGGCATACCTTTCACCAATACATGGGGAACTATATTGATGACTGGAAACAGCATATTTGAAGAGCTGCATGAAGACTCTTTTATGAAAACCAGACCTTGGGAACTGCACCCTCTCAATGGGAAAGTCCAAATGTGATGAGAGACATTGAACCCCAGAGCAGGGGCACTGGGCCTTTTCCAGTCACTGAACTCTCGGTGGATCTGATCAGCCTGAAATACAGCAAATCCAAGCAGGATCTAGTGAGTCTGTCGGCACTGATGTACAGTGTTGGCTAAAGACTCATGTGTTCCTAGTGGTGGGGAGAGGAAGCTCACAGCATTGTTGCTCCATCTAGTGAAGCAGAAATGTCCCCGTGAGTACCAGGGCCCAGCAGCCTAGGCCCTGTGCTTATTTCTCTCAGGTTCTCAGGGATGTCTTGTTGCCTACTACAGGTCAATTTATGAAAGATACACTCAATTTTCCACAGAAAAGATTCATTCTAATAGATTCTATTAAATAGAACCACAGCTATTTGCTTACACAGAGTCTATGGCTGCTGTCAAACTATGAGGAGGCTTGGAGTTTCTGCAGAGACCAACAGCCATCGAGTCTCTGGCTGTTACAGAAACAGCTTGCAGACCTCTGCTCTAGGGTCTTGGACTCCATTTCCTTTTTAAAAAAAGTACATTTTCATTGATTTTAGAAAGGAAGGGAAAGGGAGAGATAGAAACATCAATGATGAGAGAGAATCATGGATGGGCTGTCTCCTGCATGCCCCCTATGGGGGATTGAGCCTACAACCCAGCATGTGACCTTGACCAGAATCAAACCCAGGACCCCTCCATCCGCAGGCCAATGCTCTATGAATTGAGCCAAACCAACTAGGGCTTGGACTCCATTTCTAGTCTTTGCCGAGCAGGTTAAGAGTTTTGGAGGTCAATTTCCCTAAGGACAATCTTTTCCAAGTTAGTTAGGCAATATTGAGACTTCCCAGATAACAGGAAAACTGGACCATCTGTAAATGCTTTTATGCTTCTGTGTGAAGTTGGGATACACTCCAATGAAACCAGTCCACGGCCTTTGCTGCTCTCCACACAGGCTTATGATGGAACTCGGCTGCAGTGAATGGGCTGCAATGAGTGTGCTCCCTGCAGGCCAGCCTGGTGCTTAATGTAACTAATTGTAAGTTGCCAATGTGAACACACAAACAAAGCCTGGGACGTGTCGATGTGCAGCATGACATCGCCTGGGAGCCCCTCCTAGCCCCAAAGCCACTGAGCTAATCCTTGGGGCCTCAGAGGGCAAAACCTAGCCCTGTAGAGCCTTCCCCAGCCCCAAAGAGCAGAGGGCAGCATTGAGGAGCCCGGCTCCTCATTCAGAGACGCTTAGTGAAGCCCCCAGCAGGCCCTGGTCCTCTCTCTCAGAGAGTTCAATGGCGGCCCAGGATCCAGGCAGCCTGGGCCTCTGTCTTGGAGCCCAAACAATGCCCTGCAACCCAAAACATGTCAATGATGTGAAACGCACACTCTGGTGTCTACAAATACTGCTTTATGGGAATACAGCCACACCTATTTGCTCACATATTGTCTATGACGCTGCGTCTAAGAGAAGAGATTGGAGTTTAAATACACACCTTAAGCCATTGACTCTGGCTGTTACAAAGTCTGCAGACGTGATCTTGGATCCTGGAATAACTCGATAGTCTTTGCATGTCTGGCTGAGGTCTCTGGAGAGGTCTCTTTCACTAAAGACCGTCTTTTCCACGCTGAAGGCCATTCCTGGTTAGGGGAATGCTCTGCGACACCTGCAGACATGCCTTGTGCTCTGCGTGAAGCTGGCACACACTCAGATGAGACCCAGCTATGGCAGCGGCTGCTCTCTGACAGGCTCCGGATGGAACTCAGCAGCAGTAGGATCTTGGGATGAGTGTCTGCTCCCTGCATGCCAGTCCTGTGCTCTGAGCCTTGAGACTCACTGCCAGTTGCCATCAGAACGGTGCCTGGTGGAGCATGAAGACCAGGAGGCTCAGCTGCAGGCCACCTGGCCCGCTGGGGGGTGTAGTGCGAGGGTGGTGGGCCCCAGCTCAGGCCGTTGCCGGCTTGCCTAACCTCCCAGGGTGGTCTCTGCTCCCTGGGGTGACACACCCAGACTGTCCCCCTGCTGGAGGTGCAGGACATTGAGGTACCAACTAGATCTCTGCTCAGAAGGGACCAGTGGTGGCGGAGTACAACCGGGCTCTTGCCAGTAACAGGGAATCGGACAGGGTGACCGGGCTGAGCTGGAGCACCTGCGGGAGAACTGCTCCTGGGGAATCGCTGAGCCAACCACAGCTGAAGAGATGCATGCGCAGTGCGCCAGGGGCTGGGGCGGTGCGGGGCCTGCCCTCAGGCTGTGCTCCCTGACCGGCTGCAGGACAGCTTCCTGCTGCAGGGCACGAGGAGAGCCCTCACTGCACGGTTCTGCTTACTGGTTCTTTTTGCTGTTTCTTTTTCTGTGAACCTTGACCTTGCTCAGACCAAAGGTACTTCCGGCCCCTGCTGGGGGCAGGTGGGCTGGGGGTGTTCCTGGGTGCAGAGCTCTGCCTCAGCTCCTCCTGGCCCTTTCCCGCCACCTAGAGTTCTTCCCAGAAAGCCTCTCGGGCGGTTTGCAAACTGCATTAGGCGGGGCTTGCTCTACATTACGGTGCTTGGCGCCCTGGTTCCATTACCCCTGCCCCACAGCCCTGGCTTATGTACCACTCCATCATCTGTGTCCTGGGCATCCCACCACCATTGTGGCACAGTGGGTCCCCGCTAAACACCTGCGGACAAGGTCAGGGATGTCCCTGGGCCCTGGCTAGAGCAGTGTTGTGTCCACCACGCCCTTGACTCTCACCAGGGGCTGTGTCAAGGCCACACGCGGGCAGCTGGGCCGGCTTTTCCTCATGGCTGGGCTGTGCAGCCCCAGAGCTGGCCTCCAGGCTGCTCCAGTTACAGAGCGCTCGGTCCTATTAAGTTGACACATGGAACCAGTCACATCGGGTAATTAGTATCATGGTGGTGGCAGCAGCCTTTGTCCAATTCTATGGAGTCCCCCACCTTCAGGTCGCCCACTAAGGCCTGGAGGGGGGGGGGCTGCACTGATGACTCACATATCTGCGCTTCCTTTCTGAAGCTGGAAGGGAAACTCCCCAAGTGCCTTAACAGTAACTTCTTACCTGAATTGAGAGGAAGCATCTGAGGGGTCTGTTTCTAGAAGAACCTCTTAGAGAACCCAGGGCCCGCCAGGCTCCTGCCCAACTACCTGCTGCGGCCTGTGGAGAAACTGCGCATGTTCCCTGCTGCCCCTCCTCAGCCGGCAACGCCATCCCCTGGGCACAGAGGCCTTCGAGGCTCATGTTGGGATTTTACTCTCCTCCAGCCGTTTCTAGGGAAAATAATGGACTGGGCTTTTTTGGACATTCTGTTTCTGGAGCAAAATGTCCCTCTTACCCCCATCCTTCCTGGGTGACCCAGCTTAGAACAGGACACCCATTCATGGCAGTTTTCAGAGATGATTGTAAACTCGTCTGTTTCTGGGGCTGGATCTGCTGATGGCAGGAAGCATGGAGTCCCCAGCTCCAAGGCAGCCGGCTAGTCATGGAGGTGTGTCTGGGCCTCAGATACCTTGAGTTTTCATATTTGTCCTTGGGAGAGTGATGTAAGGTTACAATGGGGAAAGATATTCAATCTTCAATACTAGGTTTTAAAAAGAAATCTGCTGTGTTGATATGTACCTAGAGGCAAAGATTATGGTGAAACTGAAAGGAAATACAGAGACAATTAGCATTCAAAGAAGAAAAAGAACAATGCCTGTGACTTGTCAATGTCAGCGTGACACGGTGAAAGACGATGCTAGCCTCAGAGTTCGGCCTAGGGTCAGCACCTCGGAGCCGAAGCTCCCGCACAGAGAGCCCGCCTGGCCCCACATAGCGGGGCCCATCACCAAAGGGCTGCGCCTTGCTCAGGGAGAGCAAGCCCTAGGCCCTGGCCTCTCTCTCAGTGAGGCTCTGCCCTGATATCACTCCCTGGCCTTTCTCTCCAAAAGTCCTAGCCAGGCACAGGGCCCCAGCACCCTTGGCCCTGGACCCTCTCTTAGAACATTCGAGAACATGAAGAAGCTACCATAGAGGACAAGCCCCATAGGGACCCCGGCTTCCTAGTGGACTGGAGGGGCCAGATTTCCAGTCTCTGGCTGAGGTCCATGTGGGCAGCACTGGTGGCTTGCGTCCCCTTCTTAGGCCTAAGCATTCCTAGCCTTGAGGGGCAGATAGTGAGGGTAAGGGGCTGTCCTCACGCTGAGGATGGCCTGTGACTTATCCATAAAGGGCTCTCTGGGTTTCAGAAAAGTAGTGCTTAACCATGGGCCACTGTTACCAGGCAACCTGGCTGCCCACTGTGACCTGGGTGAGAGGTCACTCATGGAGCCTAAAGAGGCCACACACAGGAGACCACATGGAGGTGAAATGGTTCACACATGAAGGATCTCGGAGGATCAGAGCCGTGAGATAAGAGCTGGCCCTCCTGCCAGACAACCAATCCCTCTTTCAGCCTAGACTTGTGGGCGCATGGAAGGCTCCCTATGACCTGCTGACAGAGGAAGCAAAGTCGTGGCCTGGCTTACCGGTGACTCTGCATGATGTCAATATCCAACAGGAAACTGGACAGCTGCGCTACAAAGGACCATTCGGGATGTTTGTGAAGGACAGTGGGTAATGAACCCATCACGATGGGCAGAGATTGGGCCGTTCACCTCCTCATTCACCTTGAAGATCTCCTACCTGCAGACTTTTTCCATGGCGGTCACCGTAGGGGAAAAAGCATGAGTGAGGATACGATGGCAAAGGAGTTCCAATACAAGGATGCCATCCTGTGAGTGTTGAGCACAAACTGGAGTGTGCTATGTTGCATTGTGAAGTTGTACAAGTTAATATAATGTCATTAACTACATGATCCCCCAATATTTAATAATGGGATAATTTTAAAAGAATCTTTGTCAGTCTTCCTCTTGTTTTTGAAAGTAAGAGACATTCCTCTGTTTTCAAATAATGCCAGCATAGTTTTGTTTACTTGCCTCTGTTCATTAAGGATCATGGAAAGCCTCTGTTAAGACTGAGCAGTAGCAGGTGTACTTAGGGCATCAGCCATCAGACAGTTATTGAGGAAGATGGCTAGGAAAATAAAAGACAATCATTAAGAGAAAACAAACACCAAGTTCTATTCCAGAGTCCATTCAAGACAATCTCTAAATATTGGGCTACAGCATCACTAAACAGAGGAGTGAGGATGGCTGTGGCTATCCAGTGTGTTTTTAGTTTGTAGTTTCCATGTTTCTGGTGACATAGATGTTCTGAAAAATTTCTGAGTGGTCTGCAACAGCAGACATGGATGTTTTCCTTGATTTATATCCAAGACACCAGATTCAGCTTGAAAATATTCAGGACATGAGAAGATTTATTTTCTCAATGGTTCCAAGCCAAAGATGTGAGAAAACTGGGAAGGTTCATGGTAGAGTTATAACCTACATGGCTATAACCTAATTGGAATAATTCAGAATTGTTCATGGACTGGGAAATGTGCAAGAGGAAACACACAAGGACGACAATGGCAGTGAGCTCTACTGCAGCAGTTGCCATCTCGACTAGACACAAATCCCAGCAGGACACTAAAGGTGAGGGGCAGAGTGCGACCCTTGAGGAAGTGTGCTACCCTTTACAAGAGCCAGGTGAATTCTGTGATTTACAGAAGCAGGGAAACATGGATTATGTATGGAAATAATTAATGGTGGAGGGACAATGTTCAAAGAAATATACATTGTGATGAAAGGGAATTTAATAGTTTGGGGCGACAAGACAGAGACTGTGCATTTATATCTGCAGCTTGGGTCATTATCAAAGTTGTATAAAGTTTATTGAGATGGTGGGCTGAAAAAGACATCCAAAGATGGACCAAAAATTGTAACGTGGAAATGCCCACTGATTCCTGCTCTACTATAGAAGAAGGAATGCTTTGGTTGGCCCCTTTTCAAAAAGTTTTATCCGAGTAACTATCTCTTTGGGGGAAACAATGAACTAGATAATTCAGCAGCCACAGGAAAATGGTTATGAACAGAAATTGGTCTCAGAATCCAAAATAATACTATAGCCCTCACTAAGACTAGGAGCTTTTGAGGGTCAGGTGACCAGTGAATTTTTGCTCAGGTCCATTTTGAAATAGGTCCAAATTTGATCTCACCCATTCTGTGGTTGCTCCTGGTTGTAAAATGCATAACTGAAATAACTATACCAGAGGAATTATCCCACACACTCATCACTGATGAGTCAAGGCAACTGTGGAGAGAAAGTCTAAACCAATCCATAAGAACTGCCTGTAACTGTACAAGTATTAAGTTAGAAGCTGTACCATCTGCCTGATGAATATGAGGGATTTGTGCCAACATGAAGTATTTGAAAGATTCAGGAGTGCGGATTTGGGCACATCCTCATTACGCTTTTGGTTTGTTTTGAGAGAAAGAAGGAGGAAGAGAAGGAGGAGGAGATTGGACAGGAACCAGAAAGAGAGGAGGAAAAGATGGAGAGAGTAGACGGGGAGGAAAGAAAGTTTAGAAGAAATAGAAAGAATAAAAAAAGGATGAGAAGCAAGAGGAGGAGGAGTAGGAGATGGAGAAGAAAGAGAGAGAGGAGAAGACACAACTTGGAAAGTGGCAGTGTACTCACCGATTCTTTAACTACAGGAGACCCCATGCTGCTGCTGTACCATGTGTACTTTGCTTGAGCAACTTCAAAGTCCACATCACCTTGTTCCATATGCACCTACAGTGCAGGCAAATGCTTCCTCCTCGTGTTCCCATAGTTCAATTCAATTTGCCTTCTCTCAGGTGGCAAGGCCCCCATACACCTTCATTATCTTCCCTCAGGGATGAGTCATCTCTACAGGCTGAAGGTCCTCACTGCCCTTTTCTTCCACAGGAAATACTTCTTGCTGGTCAGTTACAATGATGACGTTATCCAGAATGGGCCAAGTGAGTGGGACAATACTACTCTAGAGTTGATACACTTTAGAGTCAGTAGCTGAGGAAGAAATCTGACTGAAATTCAGAATTCTTACTCAGTGAAATATGTTTGTGTCCAGTGCTCTTCTGTGGGGCAGGCAGGTGTCTGAGGTAAATAATGATTGCTGGCATCTGGCCCCTGCTGCCAAGATGGAGAACCAGCGCCCAGGGAGCTCTGGATTTCAGAGGCAGATTACTCCTCAGTTGGGTATATGACTCCATGGAGTGACCTGAAAGTTTGCTTCTTTTGAGTTCAACCCGGAAAAAGACAGGCACTGTCACAGGTGCAGGCTGCTGCGTGTCCCCCTCCATGCACCGCAGCAGACGTGATGTTCCTACCAGTGTCCCTGACAGATGGGGATTGTGGTTGGGACCTTGGGAAGGCTGGTGTGTGAGTCACAGAGCAGGTGCTCAGGATTCCCCACCCATAAGCATATCCTTGTTTACTTACCTTTGGTTCACTCAGGATGAGATGAAGCCTGTGTTCGGACTTGTCAGCAGCAGGTGTGCTGCAGGGTGTTAGCCACCAGACAGTTAATGAGGACTGGTGTCTATGAAAAGAAGAAAAAGAGTTACAAAGCCAATTTCTAACTACAGAGTCCGCCAAACAAGGCAGTTTATGAATACTGGGTGACAGCATCACTAGATGGAGGAGTGAGGACTGCTGTGCCAATCCAATGGCTCTCCTGGCTTCTCTTGTGAATGTCTGTGGTGATGACATAGACCATCTGACAAATTTCTGAGTTGTCCACAGCAGCACACATGGATTGTTTACATGACTTATAGCCAAGACTCAGATTCAGCACAAAGAGCTTCAGGACATGAGTATATATTTGGGTCAATGATTCCAAGCTAGAAGCGAGAAAAATTGGAAAGGTTCATGGTAGAAAGCTGGCATATCTGATCATCAGGGTTCCCTGGGTTGCTGAGAGCTGGGGAAGAGGTAACTAGGGGCCAAGCTGCATAGGTGCCCTGGCTCCCCCACAGACCTGTGGGCGTCAATGGCTCCAGCCTCTGGCTGAGTCCATCAGGGCATCGCTGGTGGCTTCCATCCCCATTAGTCAAAAGTTGTCCTAGCCAGTGCTCGCTTCGGCAGCACATATACTAAAATTGGAACGATACAGAGAAGATTAGCATGGCCCCTGCCAAAGGATGACAAGCAAATTCATGAAGCGTTCCATATTAAAAAAAAAAAAAGTGGTCCTAGCCAGAGGGGCAAACATTCTGGGTGAGGGGCAGTCATCACCCTGTGGATGGACAGAGATTTGTCCCACAGGATTTCCTGGGTTACAAAGAACAAATCTTAAACATGGGCCACCAAGTTACCGTGCAACCTGAGCTGTCCATTATGACCCGGGTGTGATGTCACTCACAGAATCATTAAGGGCCCTGCACGGAAGACTACATCAATGAGTGTGGGCCTGATCCAACCTGGGCTGATCAAAGTAGTTATATGAGGTGACGCCTTGGACCCTACGGTCAAACAAGGAGTCCCTGTCTCTACCTAGACCAGTTCACTCATGAAAAGCTCCCTGTGGCCTGTTGACATTGAAGCCATCACGGCCTGTCCTCCTGATGGATTTGTATGATGTTGATAAGCAATGTTATTTCCTTCTGGAATAATATGAGTACATTTCTCCGTACTTACCTTTTCCTCACTAATATCAGTGTGAGCTTCTGTTAGGACTGGGCAGTAGCAGGTACGTTGTAGGGCCTTAGGCATCAGTTCATGAGGAATCTACACTAATAAAAGAGAAACATGGTAATTGGCGTACGACTGCTACCCTTCCCATTGGCTAATCAGCATATCCTTATGCAAATTAACTGTCAGCCAAGATGGCTGCTGGCAGCCAGGCAGCTGGAAGCAAACATGAGGCTTGCTTGCTTCAGTGACTGCGGACTCCAACGTTCCCCGCCTGCCTTGCCGGCCTCTGAGCTGGCAGTTTGAAACATTCTAACAAATATAGGCCGGGATCTCAGAGCTGGAGTTAGTTATACATTGTTTCAATTATAGAACCGAAACAAACCAGATACCTGCTCTCAGAGCTAGAGCCAGAGCTAAAGCTGGCCCAGAATAAAATAAAAAAAAGGAGCGGTTAGGAGCTTCAATCAACAACCACCAGCCTGAAAGCAGCCCTCAGCCCCTCACCCAGACTGGCCAGGCACCCCAGTGGGGACCCCCACCCTGAAGGGTGTGTGACCAGCTGCAAACAGCCATCATCCCCTCATCCAGGCTGGCCAGGCACCACAGTGGGGACCTCCACCCTGATCCAGGACACTCTTCAGGGCAAACCAGCCGGCCCCCAGGCCTCTATCCTATATAGTAAAAGGGTAATATGCCTCCCAGCACCGGGATCAGCGTGACAGGGGGCAGCGCCCAAACCCCCTGATCGCCCTGTGGCTCTGTGTGTGACAGGGTGCGGCGTCCCAACCCCCTGATCGGCCCTGCTCTGTGGGTGATAGAGGGCGGTGCCCTAACTCCCCTATCTGCCCTACTCTGTGCGTGACGGGGGGAGCTCCCCAACCCCCTGATGGGCCCTGTTCTGTGCATGACAGGGGGCAGCGCCCAACCCCCTGATTGGCCCTGCTCTGTACGTGACAGGGTACAGAGCCCCAACCCCCCTGATGGTCCCTGCTCTGTGCGTGACAGGGGGCAGTGCCCCAACCCCCTGATGGGCCCTGTTCTGTGCGTGACGGGGGGAGCTCCTCAACCCCCTGATCAGCCCTGCTCTGTGCATGACAGGGGGGAGCTCCCCAACCCCCTGATGTGCCCTGCTCTGTGCATGACAGGGGGCAGCGCCCAACCCCCTCATTGGCCCTGCTCTGTGCGTGATAGGGTACGGAGCCCCAACCCCCCTGATGGTCCCTGCTCTGTGCGTGACAGGGGGCAGCGCCCCAACCCCCTGATTGGCCCTGCTCTGTGCGAGACAGGGGGTGGCACCGCAACCTCCCCATCGACCCTGCCTTGAGTGTGATGGGGGCGGTGCCCCAACCCCCCAATTAGCCATACCCTGAGCGTGACTGAGGGTGGCATCGCAACCTCCCAATCCGCCCTGCTCTGTGCATGACAGGGGGCGTGCTCCAACTTCCCAATCAGCCCTGCTCTGAGCCCGACCAGGGGCTGCACCTAGGGATTGGCTGTGCCCTCTGCCACCCGGGAGCAGGCCTAAGCCAGCAGGTCGTTATCTCCCGAGGGGTCCCAGACTGCGAGAGGGCACAGGCCGGGCTGAGGGCCCTCCCCCCTCCCCCCCCCTGAGTGCACAAATTTTTGTGCACTGGGCCTCTAGTTGTATCTATAAAAAGAAAAGAAAATCATTCATTCAGTGTTAAAAAAACAAGTTATAATCCAGATTCTGCTCAAGACACTTAGTAAATATTGGGCTATGGCATGTAACACTAAGTGGAGGAGTGGGGGCTGTGGTGGCAATCCAGTGGGGTTTCTGAGTTCTCTTTCCATGTCTGGGGTGATGACACAGATATTCTGAAAGTTTTCTGAGTGCTCCAGAACAGTGGACATGGATGGTTTACTTGATTTGTATCCAAGAGATCTAATTCAGCATGAGGAGATCAATTTTGTCACAGGTTTCAAGCCAGATATGAGAAAGACTGGAATGGATCATGGTAGTGTTATAACCCAAACAGGAGGAAAGTAGAATAATTCAGAATTTGCCAAGGAACAGAAAATTTTCAAGAGGAAGCACACCAGAGTAACAAAGACAGTGAGCTCTTCTGGGACAGTTCCTACCTTAATTAGACTCAAATCCCAGCAGGACCCTAAAGGTGAGGGGAGAGTTTGGCTTCTGAGGTGGTGTGCTACTCTATGTGACATGTAAATGCCCTCTCTCCCTTGTTTTAAATTATGAAGAAGCAGTTCAAAAGTTTATGGTGGTGGTAATGTTGGAGTTGATTGGTAATGTGAGTCCAATTGCCCACTCTGGGAGTGCCCACATGGCATACCTTTCACCAATGCATGGGCAACTATATTGATGACTGGAAACAGCATATTTGAAGAGCTGCATGAAGACTCTTTTATGAAAACCAGACCTTGGGAACTGCACCCTCTCAATGGGAAAGTCCAAATGTGACGAGAGACATTGAACCCCAGAGGCAGGGGCACTGGGCCTTTTCCAGTCACTGAACTCTCGGTGGATCTGATCAGCCTGAAATACAGCAAATCCAAGCAGGATCTAGTGAGTCTGTCGGCACTGATGTACAGTGTTGGCTAAAGAGTCATCTGTTCCTAGCGGTGCGGAGAGGAAGCTCACAGCATTGTTGCTCCATCTAGTGAAGCAGAAATGTCCCCGTGAGTCCCAGGGCCCAGCAGCCTAGGCCCTGTGCCTAATTATCTGAGATTCAAAGGAAGCCTATTGCCAGGTAAATTATATGAAAATCAAACTATTCACAGAAAATATCTATTCTAATAGAGCCACAGCTACTTATTTACATAGATAGAGTCAAGACTGTTATCTAATAATGAGGAGAGGCTTGGAGTTTCTGCAGAAACCGTAAGCCATTGAGTCTCTGGCTGTTATAGATGCTGACCTCTGACCTCTGACCTAGGATTCCCTTTATAATCATTAAACAAGATTTTAGAGAGGTCTTTTTCCCTAAAGACAAAAATTTCCATGCTTATTATTCACTAATGGCCCAGTGCACAAATTCATGCACATGGAAAGGAAATGAAGTAGAAGAAATATTTTAATATTGCAATTTGCCCTTTATAATAGAAGTGTGAACCAAATTCATGATCAACAACAACAGATGGAAACACGTGTGTGATTGGTGCCAGTTAGAGTTGTATATGTATCGCACATGTGTGAGTCAACTTAGCCTTTTATATATAGACTAGGGGCCCAGTGCATGAAGATTCGTGCACGTTGGTGTGAGGGGGTCCCTCAGCCCAGTGGTTGGCAAACTCATTAGTCAACAGAGCCAAATATCAACAGTACAACGATTGAAATTTCTTTTGAGAGCCAAATTTTTTAAACTTAAAACTATATAGGTAGGTACATTGTTATTAACTTAAAATTAGGGTACTCCTAAGCTGGCCTTTGCTAAAAATGTCCTCCATCTGATTGAGGTACATTCGCTGAGGTTGACCCCTTCCAACTCTCCCATCCACACTCATCTTGTATACTTGTTTCATCTATCTTTTGTCACCCGCGCGCGATTTGTGGACGGGACTAGCACTAACCACTGCACAATGAGACTGCTGACTGGCTCACTCAATTCCTGCATGAATCATGTGTGCCTCCCCTGCACTGCATATCCCACAACCCACCTGCACCGAGTCTCCCTTCGCCCTACCGACCGACCGACCAACACCCCCCACTTCTTCTAATGCCACTTCTTCAAAATAGACTCACCCATGCCAAAAAACGACTTCTGCACATGGGCCACGAAGTTTCAGTCGCACTGTACGTGCACACCTGCACATGGTATTTTGTGGAAGAGCCACCATCAAGGGGCCAAAGAGCTGTATGTGGCTCTTGAGCCTCGGTTTGCTGACCACTGCCTCAGCCCGACCTGCACCCTCTCCAATCTGGGAGCCCTCAGGGGAGCCCTCTCCAATTCAGGAGTTTCTGTCTGTCTTTGCAATCATATGAATGAATTGTCTGAGACCTCCAACCCAGTTTGGTTTGTTGCTCACAGAATAACAGAGGCATTTTTTTTCTTTGCTTCATTGGTGGAGATTTCCTGGAAGTTTTAGGATATCTTCCCTTTAATTTTTCCTAGACAACCTGACTTTACTTATGTCTTCACCTTTGCTTTCCCTCCATCCCCTACTGCAACAGTAACTTGCTCCAGGCTCACTTTGCTCTAGTGCAGCCATGGGCAAACTACAGCCCGCAAGCCGGATCCGGCCCGTTTGAAATGAATAAAACTAAAAAAAAAAGACCGTACCCTTTTATGTAATGATGTTGACTTTGAATTTATATTAGTTCACACAAACACTCCATCCATGCTTTTGTTCCGGCCCTCTGGTCCAGTTTAAGAACCCATTGTGGCCCTCGAGTCAAAAGTTTGCCCACCCCTGCTCTAGTGTCTAGGAGATCTGTCTGCCACCAGAACCATGATTCCCAGCATTCCTCTTGCTCCCCATGCTCTGGGCTTCTGGTCCTGGGGCTGCCATCAGAACTATTCCCAGAATTCCTAGTGCTCCCTGCTCTGGGAGTGACCGAGGGAGCCACAGCCCCCCAAGCCTCCAGCTCTCCTGCTCTGCTCTCTGCCCAGCAACCACGGGAGCCATGTCCCCACACTGGAGCAACCGAGGGCGCCACGTCCCCCAAGCTGCTGGCTCTCCCACTTCTGCCCTCTGCCCGGCGCCTCTGTATGCAAATTAACCACCATCTTTGTCAGAATAATTTGCATATTCACCCTGATTGGCTGTTGAGCATAGCAAAGGGACGGTCAATTTATATGTTTCTCTTTTATTATATAGGATACTAGGGGCCCAGTGCCCTCAACCCTGGACTGCACTCTCTCCAATCTGGGACCCCTCACCTCGAAGGATGTCCTACTGCCGATTTACAGGGATCGGGCCTAAACTGGCAGTCGGATATCCCTCTCACAATCCGGGACTGCTGGCTCCTAACCACTCACCTGCCTGCCTGCCTGCCAGACTGCTCACCCTCAACTGCTCCCCGCCGCCGGCCTGCTTGCCCCTAAGTGCCCCCCACCAGTCTGATCACCCCCAATGCCCCCCTGCCAGCCTGCTCGCCCTCACCTTCCCTCCCCACTGGCCTGCTCGCCCCCAACTGACCCCCTGCTGGCCTACTCACTCCAAATTGTCCCCCCCACTGTCCTGATCACTTCCAACTGACCCCCACTGATGGCCTACTCGCCCCCAACTGGCCCCCCTGCTGGTCTGCTTACCCCCAATGGCCCCATCCCCCATCAGCCTGATCACAAAAATCTGCCATCCCATCCTGGCCTGAACACTCACAACTGCCCTCCCCTCTTGGCCTCTAACCGCCTCTACCTCAGCCCCTCCCATCCTGGCCTGAACACTCACAACTGCCCTCCCCTCTTGGCCTCTAGCATATTACCCTTTTATTAGTATAGAGGCCTGGTGCATGGGTAGGGGTCCCGCTGGGGTGCCTGGCCAGCCTGGGTGAGGGGCTGTGGGTCTTTTTCAGGCTCACCACACCTCCTTCAGTGTGGGGGTCCCCACTGGGGTGCCTGGCCATCCTGGGTGAGGTGCTGATGGCTTTTTGCAGGCTGGCCAAGCCCCCCAGTGGGGACCCAAGCTCCCAGCCTCTCCTTTTTTTCTTTTCAGCACCTCCTTGAGTGGAGGTCAGGACGGGCTGGAAGCAGGTATCTGGGATTTATTTATCTTCTATAATTGAAACTTTGTAGCCTTTAGCGGAGCCCAGGGACAACCAGGACAGGCAGAAAGCTTGGCTTCCTCCATCGCCAGGCCAACCCAAGCCTCCTGCTGCTCCAGCTCTGTGGCCACTTCCATCTTAGTTGGGTTAATTTGCATACTAATTCCTGATTGGCTGGTAGGTGTAGCAGAGTGATGGTTAGTTTGCAAGTTTCTCTATCTCTCCCTTTCTCTCTGTAAAAAATCAATAAAATATATTTTAAAAAAAGATGCGGCCGAAACCGGTTTGGCTCAATGGATAGAGCATTGACCTGCGGACTGAAGGGTCCCGGGTTCAATTCCAGTCAAGGGCATGTACCTAGGTTGCGGGCATGTCCCCAGTGGGGGATGTGCAGGAGGCAGCTGATCGATGTTTCTCTCTCATCAATGTTTCTAGCTCTCTATCTCTCTCCCTTTCTCTCTGTAAAAAATCAATAAAATATATTTTAAAAAAAGAAAAAAAAAGAAAGACTCTGTGAGTCATGAGGCTACGGTACACACAGGGGCGGGTCTCAGCCCATCCTCCACACCAAGGCCCCCTGCCCCCTGCCTGCCAGCAACCCTGCTCCCACTGCCAATGCTCCCATGAGCTGACGGCGCCGGCCCCACTTGTACCCCCTGAGGGCACAGAGTGATTGGGGTCAGTGCCAGCAGCAGGTGCAAGAGAGGCGGCGCTGTCAGCAGGTGTGAGCAGCAGCTGCAGTCCCAATCGCCCCTCAGGAGCAGGGGTAGAAGTTTCCAGGACATTTCCCAAACACCATTGTCTTCATCTCCTAAATTCCTGTGGCAGCTACATATGACAGGGAGGCAATGCCAAACAACAATGCCAATTTAGCCCTGACACAGGGACAGAAAAAAGGGCAGTTCTGAGGGAGAGGCCGGGCACAGGCTCAGGCTGTGGGTCTGACTCTGAGCCACACGCTGCTCCTTCTGTCAGCACTCGCCTCCGGAAGTTACAGCTCACGCTGCTGAGCTTTCAGGATTTAGTCACACACCTCGACGTGATTTCTATGAAACTTGCTTCTTAGAAAAATAAAGCTTTGAAAGGTGTGGCACAAAACAGGCTCCTAAATACTTGTAAAGGGATGAAGCAAAGCATGAACCTCAGGACCTACAATGCATGCTCCCCATGAAGGGGACAGTATTTGTGTCTAGTGTCCTCAGGTTTGCAAAGTGACATGCAGGTGCCGTCACCCCCCCACCCCCCAAAGGGAGAGAAGTGCCCCCTCTCTGAGCCCCTCTGCGGGTATCAACTGGGAAGGCACCAGCATCCAGGTCCCTGCTCGCCATGGGCGAGATTGACCTACCACTGTTCTCTCCCCATACACTTGTGAATGAACAAGGGAGTGAATGAGTGAGCAAATGAATGAGTGAATGAATGAATGAATGAATGAGTGCGTGAGTGAAAGAGTGAATGAGTGTGTGAATGAGTGAGTGAATGAATGAGGGAGTGGATGAATGAATGATGAGAAGATGAGTGATTTCAGTAGAGTCTATAAAACATCGAGTCTCTGGCTGTTACAGGAAAAACGTGCAAATGTGATTCAGGATTTTGGGTTCCTATGATAACCTCTGTGTAGCAGCTTAACAACTTTGGAGAGATCTAGTTCACTAAAGACAATCTTTTCCATGGCAGTAAGTCCTTCGTTAGGCACTCCTGTCTGCAGAGCACTGCAGAACATATGTAATACCCTGTGTGAAGGTGAGCGCTCTCCAGGGAAGCCAGTCTTCGGCAGCTGCTGCTGTCTGCACAGGCTCAGGACAGAGCTCAGGCAGAAGGGGGCATTGGAGTGAGTGCCTGTCCCTGCAGGTGGGCCTGGTGCT